ACAACTGTCACATTGTTGATGATCATATGCGGTCTGCTTCACGGACCCATTCCTCCATTACGTGAAAATACTCATCGTTATCCGGAATAAGAGCAATCAAAACTTGTGTGTTATGGGCTGGCTTTCCTGGGTTGCTCTTAGGGAACTGAAAATAAGTTACTATATTGGAAAACCCCCTATTATTTGCTATATATATACACATAGTTATATAGATACACATTCACCATGGCAACTTAATTTAAGTTCCTTAACAGCAACCCAGCTTCAGGTTGCTCATTTGTTTGGTGTAGGCCCTTGAGGCATGCATGTGAGCGCTCACACCCTTGACTCCTTCAGAAGCAGGAGATAGACATTGATATCAGTTGAGTAGTTTTGTATATGGAGCTACTACCGTCCCCAATACAGCGTAAGATCATATCCGGCTTTTGGGGATTATGCCGTTAATATACAGAATACCACATAACCTGGTTTCACCACCAAAAAAGCCTTACTAAGATGCTGCTATAGTCTAAACTCCTAGTCTCCCCTTTCTTAACCCCTATAATACGCCCCTACATATTCCCATACATAACCCCTTTTAAGGAGTTTAGCCTACAGTTCAGATGCTGCTAGTCTCACCTGGATTTAGGGTCTTGCCTGACCTCCCGTGGCTCTCCTCAGGCTACCATCAGAGATTGCCGTGAAGAGGACAGCAGTCCCAGCTTAGCAAAACCCACTATATACCCTAGTATCCTATGGTAGTTTCCTTTTTTCCATTATCCGTATATAACCCCGATATGGGGCAAAGTGAGTGTTCAGACAATGCCCCAAACCCTGACAGAGGATGTTGCTTCTTAGACATGAGGTCGGATCTTTGGTGTTGAGGGTTCTGCAGGCGTTGGAAGAGCTGTTGCGTTGGAGTGCACGTGGCTCAGACAAGTAAAGATCTGTAACGTGGCTGCAGGCGCCTCTCTGCCCCGGTAAGAGATGTAGAACGTGATGACCTCTGATTCTGCCATTCCAACAGTAGACTGGCCATTGTTGTTTGTATAACTGCCGCTAAAGCTCGAAATTTCATCAGCACGAGTCTCTCACAATGTATCGCCGACAGAGCTCTAGTTACAACTGCGTTGGCTGTTGCCGCTACCATGCGAATGAGCAACTGCTGCCCATGGTGGATACTACTGAATCCATAAGGGGGCCCTGTGTAAGGGGACCTATAGGAGACATCCCTAAGGGCTCCCTATGACTCCCGAAATTCCCCAAAATCTTCCCAAAATGGGGCGCCCTCAAACGGAGTCGCACTGTCAGGAGGGCAGATGAAGTCGAGGGTGAGGTGGAACTCAAGGACAAGGGCCAAATGCCCAGAGCCAGCTGCTACTGGGTAGTTTCCATAAATAAGGGGGCCCCATTAGGGTTACTATATGGATTATAGGGGTTATTTGGTGGGGTATATGCGGGGGTTATAAAGCGGTGTATGAATGTGGATGATTGCCCGTGTTGTTCTCCTTGTGGTCCTTACATGCTTTACGCGGCTCCTGCAATATTAGCATCCAGGCCTGATCCCCACGCTCCAACCGCACCCTTGTATTCTGGCATCCCTTGTCCAGCGCAGCAGAAGGTCCTTCCTCCTTGTGGGCTCCAGCCATAGGCGTACTGCGACAACGCACCAGAATTCCCTGCCAAGAAGTCCAAGCACCCACAAACGTTCTCCGAAACAACTCCTTAAGTGTTCGCTTTCATGGTCTTCCTCCCCACTCCTTAGCAAATATCATGCGGCATAGGTCAAGATGGACCAGGAAGTCCTAGTGTAGTGCAAGGTATCTGGAGGCCCGGATACTGCAATCTAATGGTTTCTGTCCAATGAATGCTTGTCCTTCCATCATCCATGCTGCTCATTACCACTTATCCCTAATCCACACATAGACTCAAATCACAATCTCCTACAGAAGCATTCTTGCCCAAAAGCCGGTGGATGGCTGATGCAGCTTCTAAGGCAAGGGCAAGGGCAAGGGCGCGATGACTGTCAAGGCTGCGCAGCTGCTGCTTGAGTATTCTCTGTCGCATTTCGTGCTGGAGATTGGTTGTCTTATTCGAGTTTTGTTGTAGGATACTACTAATAGTAATCACAATGATAGTTTTATTTGTAATTGCAATACTACAAGGTTCAAGGTGTGGGGCCTTGTGTGCAGTGTGGGGTTTAGTGTTGCAGAAGTTAACTTCCGCGGTTGTGTATTTTTTGCACTTGGGCTTTGCGTTAACCATTCTGGTCCGGATTTCGGCGTGGGAAGGTTCAGGGTCGGGGCTTAGGGAGAAGATGATCTCTCCGAATTGGTTGAGCATTCTGTATGATAGGCAGCAGATTGGTGCACATGCAAGGCATTAGCAAGTGGGCCGCATCAATCACAAGGACGGCAAAACAACGCTTGAAAACACATTTCTGACGAAGGAGCTGACGCGACTGAAGCGCCAAAGCCTCAGCAAACTGTGCCACTGGAGCCCTTCCAGCACGAGATGGGTTTCACTGCAACAGCCCGCAGTGCATGGAATGACATGTTGCGAGCGTTGCTTCCTTGATTATATCAATCCTGCTGCAAATGTGGCTAAAGGCTGTAGTCTGTAGACTTGCAGATTTCTTTCAGACCCACCCGCGCCATCGCAGCAGGCATTGCCAGCACTCTCTTTAGGTGTGCTGGTTGCATTATTTAGCGTGCATTGCGCCGTGTGCAGTTGTGTGAAGCGTTGCGAAAGTGCATGTTTCCGTTGTCTTCGCAGCACGAGTTTGTCGCCCTGATCGTTTTGAAGACCACCTTGTGACTTTAGCATCTTTAAGGTTGCAAATAGTAGCAGTAAGAATAGTAAGAGTAGCAATAAGTCAAGTATTCATCATAGTACCAACAGCAACACGGGCTTAGCTGTGTAGAGTCTCTGAGGTTTCAAGGGACAGTCCGGTATCGACCACAATGGAAAGGTGTGGAAGCCGGAGGTCCACTTCTCAGAATTCAAGGGCTCTATAGGGATATATGAGCCATAGTCTAAACTCGTAGTATCCCCCTTAATACACATGTAGTAGTTCCCTATATAACCCTTATATAACCCCGTTTAAGAGTTTAGATGGTGGCACATATAGAGATGTATAGGAATGTATAGGTATATGTGGGGATGTGTAGGAATACATAGGGAGATGTGGGTTTTAGGGCCTCTGGTTTAGGATTAGGTGGGCCCCCCAAGTATTTTATATTCTTGTTTCAACAACATTCCATGGTGGGGCTCCACCTAAGTCATGAGGGTGTTATCAAACTGTTTCCTTTTGAGGCCCTTATTCCAATAGGTTTATAGAGACCTTGCACATAGGCTTCTTCTTTTGCTACGTCGCATTATCTAGGCTTTATGTTTCTTAGTCTTCTTCACTGCAGCCACATCAGGTTATCAAGGCCACTACTTCGCGCAGCACGTATGTCTCGTAGGTCCACCTCAGTGGTTTGCTGACACGAATCTGCTTCACGTTAGCTGGCCAACCCAAGAGCCATAAGCATCCTTGAATCACAGCAGATGCTGTCCTCATGATCTTGTGCCTGGACCAAGACACGAACACGGAGCAATTTTGTCGGGACTATCTTTACCATGTTAAGCTAACAGCTGAACCACGGTGAGTTCTCGCGGAAGGATTGTCGAGGATTGTCGTGGAGGAAACGCAAAAAGCCCAACAACTCAATGAGGCGGCCATATTAACAGTCCCCCCTCATGCACATGCAGCCTCCATACTTCCCGCTGCGCCCAGATTTGGATGAAGATGCGCCAAGAATTCGACTGAGTGCTGGAGTTGCGCTTTGCGCTTTGCTGTTCATGGCCAGCACAAAAACATGCGAGTCTGCAAGCCTGTCACTTAGCGCTGGCGTGAAGTGGCAATGCCGTGACAGCTTCAACAGGTTTTGCCCATTGTTGGAATGTTGCTTGACATCGAGTGAATTTATTCTCACAGGACGATGACCCCGAACAAATTCAGCTCAAAATACAGCCTTGGTTAGAATTCCATCTTGCTGAGATACCATGAGTCTGACTGTGAATGAAACCCTAATGTCCCCATTCAACATACCACAAAAGCTTTAACCCCAAACCCAAAACCCTATCCCTATCCCGTGACCCTGGCTGAGCGCCCTGACGGCATTTTGGGCTCAAGCTGCGCAGTTCCCCTTAGCAGCGTTGTTCAAACGCCAAGGTCATCCCTCCGCTTTCGGGGCACGGTTTGGCTTCGGGGTGAGAGATATGGCATTTTCGCCAAATGGGGAGACCCTAGCATAGACCCCAAATACTGTGATCCTTTTTTTGGGGGGACCCTCAAACGGTAACCCGAATTTTGGGACCCCCCATATGCGGTACATTCACATGTATTCGGGATCTCCTCTCCCTTCCTCTTTGGTTTCCTGCGTTTGCCGCTGTATTCTGAGGTGAACATTTTGCCACGCAGCCATGGTGCATGTCTGGCGCAAGATTCTTCTGTTCGCCAGCCTGTGTTTGTTCCTTGTTCTGCTCAAACTTTCATACATCATTATTGTAGCAAGTCGCAATCTATTCTTCAAACAGAAATGGTAGTTTCCATGAATCAGGGGCCCCAATATGGACCCCAATATATGCTAGTCCTTATTATGGGGACTCCAAAAAAGGGGTCCACAAATGTCATGATTCTTGCTCATACCTTTTTAGGGATGATATAATGTAGGGATATGCCAAATATGTATACCGTTTCTTTCGTGTATTTCAGAGGCAAGGCTCAATAATGCGGTTTCCAGTTTAAGGTTTAGCATTTTCGTCTGAATGCCTTGCATCACGGCCCTGTGAGAGACCTAAGGTTTAGGCTTACATGGCTTGTTGTTAAGAAATTCCGTTACCAGAATATTGGCGTATAGTAAATAATAGGGTTTCCTGACTTTGGTAATTTACTTTAAGTTCTTTAACAGCAACCCAGTTTGGGGTTCGGAGATGGATAGGCCCGAGCTGTTGCGTGCAGGTCATTTTGACTCATGGCGATCGAGGACTGATGGCTTCAATGGTAGGGACATCTACACCCAGAAGCTGTTCAGCTAGGGTTTGCCTCAAAAACTAACTTTGCCACTTTCCATAGTTCTCAAGAAACAACTCCACCAAATTCTTCGTTTAGACTGCAGGAAGAGTAGACTTCAAGGGCTTGAGAATAGTCCCAGTCCGAATGGTTCCAACTTCAGACAGATGAAATGAAGCCAGTCTCTGATATTGTCTCAAGTCATCCTACTGGTTCTCAGTAGGGAATAAAGCAATAAGGGACTATATTTTATAGGGACTATGTGCTGGGGATTATCTTCCTTTATTCCCTACTAAGAACTAGTAAGTCATCACAACACGTCAAGTTGAGCCGTTGGATCTGAGAATTTTCTGGGGGGTGCTTTGTTTTGGTTCGTCGTCTTCAGAGTTGTGAGTGGAAGTTGGTCAAGCTTTATGTCATGTATATCAGGGGAAAAGAAGAAATAACATCTCCAGGAAGTTGCAAAATCTCCTCCCTTACCCCACTTCTAAGCCCCAAAGCCATCGACCCCCAACCCTTAACCCAAACAACTTCCACAACCGAACTCTTACCAGCACCTCTTCAGGACTTGGCGAACATGTCCCAGGACGGCCCCACGGAGTACACGGTGGCGCAGGGGGTCTGCTTCATCAAGCCATCTGAGGACTCGGGCCATGGCTGACTCATTGAACTCCTGTGAGTTTAGACTTAGAGTCCCCCTTAAGTAGATAGAATGTGGCTTTGGGTATATTATGATAAGATCCCAATTTACCCCAGACTACCTACCTAAGGGAACTATAAGCCACAAGAACCAAACCCTAAACCCTAATCCCTAAACCCTGTGAAAGGATCCAGAAACCGGAAAGATCCTCAAGGCAAAGAGGCCGGTAGGGCATCTCGGCAGCAGTTGGTCGCCTGGTTCAAGGGTCTTGGGGATATGTAGGGGTTATATGGGGGTAATGGAGAAGAAAACGGAAACTATTTTTTAGGGTTAAGGATTAAGGGGCAGATGGTCGTGGTTTAGGGTCTAGGTAACCAGGTGAGGCTGTTTGCAGCTGCACTGATAGCTTTCTTATTTGGATCAAGCTAGGAGGGTTGGGGATCCGTATCCACCACCCAAGGCGTCTGTAGATTTTGGCATACAACCCGCACATCTGCTAGAATCCCATGACCGCTTCTAGGGTTCTGCATTCTACACAGAGTTTGCTTGGGACAGGTAATATATACCGGGACCATGAACCTGTGAAGGGTATACATGGCCCGATGTAGGTTTTGAGAAAACGATTCAACCCAGTTTTCCAGCCATTTTGCCATGCTTCTTTTTCATTTGATTCACTATGATTAAGGGATCCCTGGATCCTAGATGGTAAGAAGGGCTTCCCTTTGTTCGAAGAGGAGTGGTTCCAAACAAGAGAAGGAGCTTCGGAGCCATGATGTACGCGAATCCCCTGAAAATCAGACTCCCACCCACACCCTGAAAAGCCATGCTCCCCTGACCAGTAAAGTGCACTGGGGACATCTCAATGACCATGAGGGTCAAGTAGGCTTTATTTTTCAGAAGATGTGAGTCTTCTAGCTTTATCACGAAGACAAGTTTTGGCCTCCATCGAAGTTCAGAAGCTCCAAAAGCCTGCCAAGGTCCAAGATCTACACCACAGGCGCCGAGCTAAGTTTTAGATCGGCCTCATGACTTGCGGTTTAGAAAGTTTTCCCCACATTATGATTTCGCAGTCATTTTAGGGGGGATCCTAAAATCCACATATGGTTCGCATATATCCTTGAAGGTCCTTGCAATCTTAGGGTCAGCTTGTTGGTCTCGGGAAGGGTTGCAGATTTTTAGGGTCTGGGGTTTTTGGTGTTTGGATTTTTTAGGGTTTGAGGTTTAATGTGGCACCCTTTTTAAT